CCAGGCCCAAACACAGGTCAAAGGTCCCTTCTAGAAAAGGTGCCTCTGATTTTACCAGGAGATATTTGAATTTCTTAAATAAATCATCAGCTTCAAGCTTGCTGCACACGTCCACCTTAAACCTGCAGGACACCTCCAAAGTATTTTATCCTTTCTGTGTAACTCAAACCAGGCCTTTTATTAAATTGATACTTTGCAGCTCACTGGACTATTTGGCTCTTTTGGGGGAAATGAGCAGCAAACAGTCCAGTTGTTTGGTTTAGCAATGAACTTTCCCACACATGCAATGCTAATTTATTTCAATGTCCCCACTAATGCCAACATTTACCCTCAGAGCTGTGGCAGTCCCATTCTCACAGCAAAGACAACGGCTCCAGAGGAGCAATTTCCATGAACCAGGCCAATAACCCACAAACGGGAAAGGATTTTCACAAAAGACCCAAATGGTTTCCAAGGAGCCATTACGGAACATCAGGTAAATAAAATATTATTGAAATGTATTTTTTGCATTTAAATCACTTGCAGCAGGTGCATAGGAAGCAGCTCATAATAAAAAGGCTCCCATTCCCTGGAATACTAACGAGCATCAACAGAAACATCCAGGAAAAGGGAGGAACAGCAGGTTCTTACCATGGCAAGGGGAATGATTCCCACAAAAACCTCAGGAAAAAGGAGCAGCAGCAGGTTCTTACCATGGCAAGGGGAACAATTCCCACAAAAACATTCAGGAAAAGGGAGCAGCAGTAGGTTCTTGCCATGGCAAGAGGAAAAATTCCCACAAAATCATTCAGGAAAAAGGAGCAGCAGCAGGTTCTTACCATGGCAAGGGGAATGATTCCCACAAAGTCATCAAGAAAAGGGAGCAGCAGCAGGTTCTTACCATGGCAAGGGGAATGATTCCCACAAAATCATTCAGGATAAAGGAGCAGCAGCAGGTTCTTACCATGGCAAGGGGAACAATTCCTACAAAATCATCCAAGAAAAGGGAGCAGCAGCAGGGTCTTACCATGGCAAGGGGAACAATTCCTACAAAAACCTCAGGAAAAAGGAGCAGCAGCAGGTTCTTACCATGGCAAGGGGAATGATTCCTACAGAATCATTCAGGAAAAGGGAGCAGCAGCAGGTTCTTACCATGGCAAGGGGAATGATTCCCACAAGAATATTCAGGAAAAGGGAGCAGCAGCAGGTTCTTACCATGGCAAGGGGAACAATTCCCACAAGAATATTCAGGAAAAGAGAGGAGCAGCAGGTTCTTACCATGGCAAGGGGAACAATTCCCACAAAAACACTCAGGATAAAGGAGCAGCAGCAGGTTCTTACCATGGCAAGGGGGACGATTCCCACAAAATCATTCAGGAAAAGGGAGCAGCAGCAGGTTCTTACCATGGCAAGGGGGACGATTCCCACGAACATCGTTTGGCTGACGAAGATCTCGGACACCACAAGCTCGCTGACGGAGTCGTCCCGTGGATATTCCACCTGCCAGGTGATCTGCTGGGCCCCCGCCAGGCTGCTGGCGTTGTCGATCTCAAAATCCATCTGCAGGATCTCGTAGGAGGTCATGTTTGTCGATCTCAAAATCCATCTGCAGGATCTCGTAGGAGGTCATGTTTGCTCTGGAAAACAAGGCAGAGTTCCCCACAACGTCACTGGGATGTTGGTAACAAAATGGATTTTCATTTCTCTTCCCTCCTCACCAGTAGATTAAATTCAACGTGCAGACTTGAGGCTCTGAGAGAAACCTAAATAAAACTGCACATGCAGAACTTTCTAAGTAAGATGAAACTGTATCTTTTAGTTTCCTGAAATGGAGGCATTTTTCCCATTAAACTCAGGCATTCATTCTCCATAATCACAATGAACTTACAGAATAAGCCACAAACCCTTGGAAAAGCATTGCACAGATGTCGCTAAATTATTTAATATACCATTATTATAATTTTGATGCTGCAAAACAACAGAATACTTGGCCATTCCTCATGTTCTACCAGAAATGAGCTCTTGTGGAGGGAAAAAAAGTCTTTCAAACCCAAACTGGTCTTTATCTCAGTGAAAAAATGGATTTGCAGAAATTATACATGACAATAAATGAGGGGTAGATTATCCCTATTTTCAATTCATGACAACATTCTCCTCGTCAGTGGTGCAGACTTGTAATTATATGGCAATCATATATTTCTCATCTGGAAATAAAAGTTTAAAAGTAAAGAAATGGATATAAATGCACAGCATTGAGAACTGAATTTAAGAATTACTTCTGCTTCCTTTCTCAACAACAGCTCTTATCCCTTTCCTCAGGTCCAAAGCTATGCAAATATTAATAATTAATCCTCAGGTTAGAAACACAAATCTTGTTTTTGTGTTAAGCGAAGCAAACAGACACCAAGATTTAACCAAGTGCACTTGGTTAGCAAACAGACCTTTGCTCATCCAAACTTCCCCAAAAACTGACTTGTTTTACAAATCACACCAAGTTTACACACAAATATTTTCAAAGAACTCAAGTTCCTGCCCAGGACTCCCAGACAGACCCTGCAGTGTGGGGACCTGATGGAGGTCACAGGCACAGAGAGGGGATGGAAAGGCTCTGACTGCAGAGCCAGCTCTTCCTCTCTTGGAGAAACACCTGATTTTATCAAACTCATTAAATTTTGGGGTAACATCTGAATTTGCTGTACATCAGGCCAATGGTACATTCATTATCTGTGTGTCCTTCCCCAAAGCAGCCATTCCAAGAACTGTGCTCACAGGAACTTTTAGCTGCTGCTGCAGACAACAGGGACTTAAAACATCCTTCTCCTCTTCCCAAATGCACAGAGGCAGAATCTGGGTTTGCCATATGGTTTTGAAGGAGAATTGTAAAGGGGAAAAAAAAAAAATCTGAGCAGGAATTATTGATTTTTGTGTTTTCTTTCTGACAACAAACAACCTAAACATATGCTTCAATGCCTGGAGGATAAATATTTTCCATGCTGACAGAAGATGATATCCACCTCCAGGCAAAACTAGAAGCTATTAAGGCATTTTTTGTGTGGCCAACCAGACAACCAGCAAAAACCTTTTAAGATAAATTTTATTACATAATAATAGGGATGTAATTAAACCATTTCTGTTAAAAACATAAACTCAGCTTCATAGTTTTCTGTGTATCACCTCCAGCTGTTTGTTCTATCTAAATTGCATAAAATTAATTTGCTCACAACACAGAACTAAAATTTAGATATGAGCTTTACACTAACTATGGATTTAGATATTTGGCCTATTAAGGTATGTTTAGGTCTGCAATTTCACTTCACTCTGTTCAGGCCAATAGTTTTTACTCACAAAGACATCCAGGAGTGGTTTCAAATTGAGAACAAATCCACCAGTGGAGGATTTGGGTACAGAGACACCAATTAAATAATAGGTCAGCTTAGTCTGCAGTGACAAATCCATTCCATGGTCCCAGTGACTGGCACTTCTTTGATTTCAGAGTTCAATTATTGCTTTCCTGTTTTTCTTTCTACATATCCAGAAAGAAAGCACAATACTGGGTTAATATTTTATACATAAATCTCCCTCAGATGCAGCGACATTAACAGGGGAATTAAAATGAAGCTGTTCTCCCAGGTCTCCATCCTGCTTCCAAAGAGAATCCTTATCACCACTTGGAAAAACAACACCAAATTTGGTTTATCAAAGGTTTTCTGCTCTGTCTCAATAGCCAATTATGTATTATGACACATTAATATTGATTAAAGAAGGCTCCACTTCTCTCTTGGGCCTCTGCTGAAAGAGATGGCCTTGAACCATCTTTCACCTCCAAAGCCCCCCCTGAGTGCACAGCTTTAGCAAACCAGGATTCAGCTTTCTGCACTCTTATTCCCCAGCAGGTGAATGAATTTAATATGAAATCATGGTCTTCTTTTGTCCTCTTCAGAGACTGAGCCTTGGAGCAATGCCAGGTGCTGTGGTATCTGGGACACCGAGTACCCCACGGATGAATCCACCCTCTTTGTTCTGAGCTTCTTCCCAGGTTACAACTCTAACAAACTCATGATAAAACCTGAAAAGTGGATTTCTTTCATGTTCAGACTACTGCTCACCTACTGCCTGCTGCATCTCTTATCCTACAGAGGTTTCCTGGTAGAAAGGCTGGTATTACATTCATAATTCTTGCAATTTATTAACCATCCTCTGTAATACCATGTGGGAGACCACTGCCTTTTTCTGCTGAAATTGATGGAGGTTGCTAAAGTAAAACCAGAGATAAATTAAACCATAATCAAGACCTCAAATGTCAGCATTTACTTATGTCAGCTCCATTAGCTGATAAATTCCCATCCCAACACCTGCATTTCAATTCCTCTCCTGCCTGTGCAGCATATCACTGTAACCCTTTTTAAAAGCACTTGTTCCTGCTTTTAAAACCTTCAGCTCTTGGTGTGATTTGGACCAGAACCTCGCTCTTGGTAGCCACTGTCCATCTGCAGCTGCCTGGAGAAGACAAAATGCCAGCAGTGGCAAAATCCACGAGCAGAGAAGACAAGGACTGTAACTCATGCTGTTATCAGCCATTAAATCCCTCTAAACCAAACTTCATCCTATCAAGATTATTCAGCTTTTCCTGGAGACTCATTTCATTTTTCTCTTAAATAAGTTTGAACTCTTGGGGAGAGTCTGATGGAATCCAAGGACTATAAATCACTCTCCCTTCCGTATCTTTCCACTCTTTTTAGTTAAATATTTCTATTGTCCAGTGAAGTTTTTTCCTGGTTTAGGATTTTGCCAAACTCTAGTTTAGAGAAGCAATAAAAAATAAAAAGTCAAAATTACTTTTATAAAAAAAGATTATTTCCTGCAAGCACAAGGAAAAGACCTTATAATTTTAGGCAGCTGGCATGCTTGCTAATAAGTCCATTTCTATGGAAATGAGTTCATAACTATTAATTTTGCCTGCTCCTGATCTATTCTTGATGAGCCTTTCAAATTTAGAAAAGCGCTTCATGATTCTCTCAATTTGGTAATTACTAACTCCCTTTGATGAATCCAGCCCAGTGTTTCAGACATGAGACATTCATTACACATTTTTCTCTCTGGTGAGAGGAGGAAAAAAAGAACCCCATGGGTCTTTTTGGATTTATTTCCTCTCACAAACTCCTGTAAGTAGGTCCTCTTCTTCAAATGGTGATTTATAATCCTATTTGCGTACCTTCACAATCCTGCCTCTGCTGGGGCTGGAAGAACGTCCAAATCCTTGAGATTTCTGCACAATCTCCCATTGTCTGGCCTCATATCTGTCTGATATTTCCAGCAGGTCCCAAGCAGCCCAGCCAGGCTTTGGCACAGCCCAGCCCTCATCCCACACCCAGCAGGTGGGAGCTGTGATCCCAGCCTGGAGCCGAGTTTGAGCTCAGAATGGCAAATCCATCCCAAAGAAATCCATCCTCAGCTCCAAGCAGCTCCAGAATAAAGGAGTTAGCAGGGCAGGAAAGTGTTGCTAAGTCCCAACAGACACATCCATGTTGTAGGTGGCTACAAGGAGCTGCAGCTTATTTTTACAAAATAAAGGATCACTGTGAGGCTCCAGCACAGCTCTGACGTGAGAGGCTTTAACCAGCACCACAAAATCACCCGAGACTGAAACAATACCAAACTGAATTTGTCTGAGCCTGGCATGGAATTATTGAATTCATGGAATGATACTCAGTCACTGGCACCATGGCAGCAGCAACAGCACAACTGCTTCGTATTTACCTTAAATAAACCAAATGATTGAGTGTTGAGGAAGATCTGCATTGCTAACCAAGCTGAAGGGGCTGCCCTGTGTGTTTGGGGAGACAGTGAGAGGTGCAGGGTGACATTTCAGGGCCACCCCCAGGCTCTGCTGGCTCCCACTCATGGGTCAGCAACAATTGAGCTGATAAAAGTCAGACCCTTCTATCACTGCACTTGGCTATTACAGGAAATCACGAGTTCCATTCACTCATAAAATAATGTTTTCAGTAAACAGCAATTTGGTTATGAGGCCCACAGCAGTGTAAACAATACCCTCAAAAATGGAGCAGATGTGAGGTATTGGAAAATAATAAATGTGGCGTATCGTGTTGCTTGAGAGTCTTTTCCAGGTTGATAATGGACAATTACAGCAAATTGTAACCAAATTCTATAAGAATTCAGTGACCTTACATTACCAAGGTACATTAGTTTATAAAATACCTCAGTAAAAAAGGTCTCACTCCTTTGATCCCAAGAGGATTAATTTTGTAATGATGGTTTACTGAAGAGAAAACACAAGTGGAGGCTTTTCAAAAACTGATTGGAAATGCTCAAGACCCCAGTTTCCTGCAGAAGTCAAATGATGCAGCAGATGGCCAGGACCTGTCAGGGAAAAGATCCAGACCAAAGGTCCTGACCTTCTCCCCCTGAGGAAATGAAGATCCTTGCAGCCTGAGATGAAGGAAATGAAAGCAGATGCCTAGCAGGGGCAGCATGCAGTTTCTGAGTGATGAAGATTTTCATGCTGAGCGCTGCCTTCCTGCCCAGGGAACCTCGGAGCAGAAGCCTGGGGCTTCCCACAGCTCCAACA